GTGCCCACCTGCCCCAGCTGAAGGGGGGGCAGGCCTGCCACCAGCACAAGGAGATGCTGGACGACGCTACCTTCGGCCTCGAGGGCTGCGAGGAAGACTCGGACCTGCTCTGCAACATCCCGCCCAAGGCTGCCTTCCTGCTCTCCATGCCGCTCAAGCACATCGGCGTCACCCGCATGAACATCAACTCCCGACGGTTCTCCCTCTGCTGAACGTGGCGGGACCCCGCGGAGTGCTCGGCACCGAGCCCAGATGGGAGCCTCGCGGGCACCCATGGGTGCATCCCGATCTGGTGGGGCTTGCAGATCCCTCTCAAAATGCCTCAGGGACTGCGGAGCTGCTGCCGGGGCTGAGCTCCCTGGGGGCAGGCAGTGCTGAGCCGCGGTGCTGCCAGCCCTGGCCTGGGGGCACTGCCATGCCCCGGGGGCATGGGAAATGCCACCATCCCCGTTGGGCACAGGGTGTTTTGGGGCACCCAGTGCCCTGTCCCTGAAGATGGTGGGGTCAACCACAGTGGAAAATGTGGGGAGCAGCCCTTTGAGGAGGAATAAAAGGAGGCGAAGGTGAGAGCTGATGTTTTTTCCTTTTGTGCATGCACCCGGGCACCTGCCTGCGCCTGCAGTTGTGGCTCCCGGGCCTTTGCTGTGGGGGACCGGGGGATGGCAGGAGGGACCACGCTGTCATCACCCCTTCCCTGGCCGCTCCCCGGGGCTCTGGCTTGACGGGGTGAGCGGCTTCTCACCGGTTTCTGCCGCCGGATGACGCCTTGCTGCAGAGACGGTGTCTCTGCTTCGGGGACCTTGTTGCCAGCCTCTCCCTGGGCGGGTGGGTGATCGGGCTGTGCCGCTGCAGGAAATGCTTGTCGCTGAACCGGCTGCGAATAGAGGGGTTGTTTTTGAGGGGTGAGGCCGGGGGGGGCCGGGGTGCTTGGGGTTTGGCAGTCCCCGTGCCACCGTCCTGCCCTGTCTCCCGACCCCCTGCAGCGCTGCGCCGGGAGCAGGAGGGACCCCGGGGGTAGTGCCAGTCAGGGCTGGCAACGCTGCCCTCACCAGAGGGGTTTGTTTTTTGGCTTTTTTCCCTTCCTCCATTAACACCAAACCCTTTACAAAAGAAGTTGCCGCTGGGGGATGTGACTTTCACAGAATGCTTTTTGCAAGCAGTGCCAGGGAAGCTGTGGGGCGACCCAGGGAAGCTGTGGGATGACCCAGGGATAACTTCAGGGGCTGCTTCTCCTTCCCAGGGTAGCAGCAGGACACGGGGAGAACCCGATGTGCACCCCGAGGCTGCGACATGCCCCAGGGTCTGGCAGCGCCCCCCGCCACCCCTTGCCCGGGGCACCCGGGGCATTGGCGAGCACGATGGG